CACTGGCATCCAAGTACTACATCAGCTGCCTTCAACGACAATGCATAGAGGTCCACTCTCATCCTTTGGCCCTGGGCTTTCAGCTTTACATCTTTGAACAAAATATCTCCTCGTAACGTTTCCCCGTTTGCTACCTTAACTCCAAAGGGCTTCACCTTGGTGAATGGGACCTCGATTTCCTTAGACAACTCCTCATCAATGAAGTTTAGCGTAGATCCGCTGTCGACCAATACCTATACCAGTTTTCTTCTTACTTCAGCCGTGAATGTAATCATCTTCGGACTACGCTTCTTACTCTTAACCATATGTAGCAATGTCTCCTCTCGTGGTTCTTCTTCCTCAAATTCCAACAAAAAGACCTCTTTACCCTTGCACCTGTGGCCTGGCGTGAATTTTTCGTTGCACGAATAACAAAGCCCTTTTTCTCGCCGTCGCTGCATCTCCTCGTCGGTAAGCCGTCGTATGTTGCTCGTCGTTCGAACAACCTCGCCCATCGGTTTGCTTTCGGTTCGCGTCGGCTGTTCATCGGTCGCGACCTGTGTGCGCTTAGTTTCCGTGCGCACGTCGCTTGGTTTCCCCTTGCGTACTGCCACGAGATGATCTTCGTGCAACCTGGCCGATTCTATAGCTGCACGCATTGATCCTGGCCTGTCCAATCTTACCTCGGCTGCCAGCTCAGCCTTGAGTCCTCCAACAAACGTTCCTACTAGTGCAGCCTCAGGCCAGTCTCGTACCCTACTAGCGATCCGTTCGAACTCCTTTTGATAATCCCTTAGACTACCCACTTGTTTGATCCTTGACAAAGCCTCATTATAATCGTGGTAGTCACTCGAGCCAAATCTCGTGATAAGCTCTTTTTCAAAATCTCTCCATCGCATGTACTCGCCATGGTTCTTGTGCATCACCCACTGCCACCAAACGTTTGCTTCCCCATCAAGGTGATAGGCAGCAATTTGCACTCGTTCGTACCTTGGCACATCATTGATCTCAAAGAACTGTACGGCCCGACTCAACCATGCATCCGGATCTGTCCCCGTGAACGTGGGCATAGTAATTTTTGGCCGTGTGCCTGCCCGTTCGTCCGGTTGCTCATCGTGCTCGCGATGTTGGTTATCGCGCCCATCGCGCCGTCGCCGATCCTCGTCGTAGCGCTCTCGGTCATCGCGCCGTGCTCGGCGTTCATCGCGTGTGGCCCGCGATGCGTACGATGCGTACGACTGTCGGTCGTAATCCTCCTCGTGCCTCGGGTGATGGTGCGCGCGTTCACCATGCCGTCGCCGGTCGTCGCATTGACGATCCGCGTGTGATGCGCGCGAGCCCCGCGATCGGCGATCATCCTCGCGCTCGGTCCCGGTGCTCACTGCCGTGGACCGTGACTCGTGCCTTCTCCTTGGCCGCGTGTTCATGCGCGTGAGTTGCCCGGCCAAGTCTTGAACCATGAGTTCGATCCTTCCCAAGTTCTCGTTGGTAGCATGTTGACCATCGCCGATGATCTTCATGTTATCCTCCAAGGCTTGAATTCTTTCACGGTTCGACATCATAAATTTTTTTTTTTTATTCTAAAAAAACGAAAAAATAAATGGGGAAAAATTCGAAAAATTCGAACCCCCAACAAGACTCAAAAAATCGAACAAAAAAAGAAATTCGGCCCCTCAACAAAAGGTAATAACCGAAAAAAACAAAGGACTAACAAGTTGACACTTTTTTTTTTAAGACACGAAAATAATGAAAA